AGGAGGAGCCAAGGAGTAGCAGTAGAAAGGCTGCAGAAAGAGTCAGGAGCCCAGAGGAGGGGGCAAAGGAGGTGAAGGGGTGGGGGAAGAAAGTGGAAATGAAAGAAGACAACAGAACATTGCTAGAGAGCAGGAAAGGAGGTGAAAGGAGACGATTTTAGAGAAGAAAACAACAAGTCTCACCAGTTAGTTGAAATCAAGATATTCAAATATTATATTCCCGACCAATGTTTAAAAACAACCTGTAGTATACTACACATGTACTTCTGAAATCATCTTCTTTGCTTACCTCAGTGTTAGATCTCAGGGGTAGCCAATTACTATGTGTTCAACCTGCAGTAGACCTACAACTGTTTTATACATATGTAACAGTTCTTCCTACTTCATAGAGTCCTTTGCCTACAGGCAGTCACATTTCGATTTTGAAGATACGCTTTGTTTTTGTTTTTACTGACTTGGGTATTTTCCATTTTGGCCGGGTGGCCGCCAAAGTCTACTCATCAATTTCAGGACCACCTAGGGATGTGCGCAACCTGCACACAGACCCTCCGAGATTTTTCTCCCTCATCTGAGAAGGCTAGGTGTTCCATATTACCTACCCTACGACAAGTGGTGTAAAGCCCCAGTTACACGCAACGATAAAATGTGAGGCGTGCTGACAACAAAAAAAAAGAGTTACTTCTCGCATCCCACAAATGGATACGTGTTTATTTAAGAAAAATTGACACGAGGGTCAAATTTGTAGAATTTTTATTGATGCCATATTCTTTTACTATAATACGCCTTTTATTATTTCAAACTTATAAATTGTAAAAGCTTCACCAGTAAGCAAGATGCATCTATTTCCAAAAGGCTTAAATCTGAGAAGTAACTCATTTTGTCAACACGCTTCACAAATGTACATGTGATGTATCAGATTCGTCGTATGCGAGAACTGTCCGTTTTATCCAACTGTGTTGTCTGTACTGTTTACACATTCCAATCTATCGTCCAGTTTTCTTTCGATCGAGATTCCTTGTCATATAGCCACCATGTCTCTTTGCGACGACAGCGATTTGCCTGCACTCTATGTGAAGGTTTCGAGCTCGGAACCTAATTGGATGAAAGGCGAAAACTGTACCTTTAGATCACGAGAGCTCCACCCCCTCCCCTGTACATTTTGATATAGCAACAGTCTTGGCCATACAGTACCGTGTTGGGTGTAGAAAGAGAAGCTTTGACTTGACTGCAGATGTGCAACGTACCGAGTGACCTTGATGCACTTCACCATTGACGATCAATTAATAAAATCACTAAAATTTACATAATTTCGAATCAAATCAGGTTCCCCACGAGCTATTCTGCTTATTTTGAGACGTTGATTCTGAATATGAAATCAGTTTAAAGATGGGACAATTATTTTAAAATTTTGCGCCCAAAGTTTAACCCTGCGCAGTGGCAAATTTCAAAGTGATTCTACGTCACAGCGCAAATCTGAACGTGATCGCACGAAAAATATCAAGCAGCCCTCGATTTCCCGACTGAGTCTTCAAGCCATCGCCCAACCTTCCAAATTTTGTACAATTTTGTGGTTACACCTAACGATTTATCCTATGATCACTAGACCGTCCAGTTTTTGTACAATTTATCGTTACATATAACCGGGCCATAAGAGTGATGGTAGAAAAGCCCAGAGGAGGCCGGGGTGGAAGGAGAAAATGGAGATGATAGATGACAGAGTGGGACAAGAGAATAGGAAAGCAGGTAAAAGGAGAAGATTTTTAAGAAAATTTTTCATTGTTGTCAGGTTTCAATCCTCTGACCTTTTGAATAAGACCCCTAGACCATGAGAGCCCCTCAAGTGAAACTTGGAAACAATACTGGATGGCACAATGCACTACACATTGACTGTGAAATAACTCTGCTAAGTCTACGATACTACGAATCTGAGATCTACCGAGAGGTGAGTCTGAGTAGAGCTGTACAAGACATGCCCAACTCACCTACAGTTGGAGGAACAGTCCCATCTTGTAATGATTATCTTGTTTAAAAAAACATTTCAGAATCAAATCATAGCACAACACCAGGGAAATCACACATAACACCAATATTCATAACTTTTTGTCTTTTATTTACCTTTTTTTTTTTGTAGTCAGTCATAACCGGCTCATACATCTGTCAAAACCTTGCACAAACTGGGCAAGCTTTCCCTTACATCAAATAGGATCTTTCGCTTTGTGTTCACTCACAAGGCTGTCCAGCCATGGACAAAGAGTCAAAAGAGAGAAAAAAAGGGTATTTTCGATAGATAAAGAATCCCACAACCCCAAATAGAAGTCACAGAAAGCACACAATATCACACATACAATATAGATCTATGCCAATACTCAATCATTTGCAACCATTCCAACAAAAATGCAACATTCATCCATTTGAGATACCCATCCTTACATCACATATAAATGAACAATGCATCACATATAAATGTTTTAGTTTTGATAAAATCAAAAGGCAGCACCTGTTCTTGAGGCTTCATTATTGCTACAACAAAATATTTTAAAAAGACTAGACACTAAAACTTACGGCCCCCCTGTAGTAAAATCTGTGCAACGTACACACAAACTGATTGAAGGACCTTTGTGGTCGGAATGCCAATGCCAAATATACAACTATGCATGGTTCCTTTGTTCAAAATATCAACAAGCTGGTGGGGGACATTTGAGCACAAATGGGTCAAATGAACTTTCAGCTACAGATGTACTGAAGGCCAAGAACAATCAAAATGTGAACAGGTAGAAGAGCGGGAAGACGTACAATATCTCAACATATGCTTCAGATTCTAAACATTGTCCAATATTACATATATACGAGTTTGTATATAGATATATATATATATATATGATCATAAACTGGACTTCTCAACATTCATAACTTAGCCTCTCAGTGTATAGTCAACAAAAAAGAACACTAAAAAAGCGGCACAGCGATGCACATAAATAACAGGAACACGACCAGTTCAAAATGGAAAGGGGGAGGGGTGGGGGGACAACATAATGCCAAAAGAATTGATGGTTTTAATTAGTTGCTCATCCACTGGTCAAAAAGGAGCTGAGCAATTAAAGAAAAAAAATGTGGAGTACATCACGATGTGAGTCAAACAGCAAGAACACCCTGTCATTCAGATAAATGTCAACTCTTACCACATATACAATTTGAAAAAAAAAAAAAATCCTTTCTCAATCAGTTCTAAAAAGTACACAAACCATCCATCCATTTTTCATTTCTAGACTAAGGACTTTTTCCCAAATGTCACAAACCTGATCTCAAAGTATGGCGAATGGGACACGCAGTGACTTTGAACTAACAAAAAAGATGTAACAAATTATTCACAATTATGTCATGTCTTGACACTGTGAAGACAACATTACAACAAAGATCTTAAAAGAATGGGAGGGGCATAATCTTTGCCAATAAGACATTCACACATGACTTTTCATTGTTATGTGCATACAACAATTCAAATAGCAAAATTTGGCAATTTCTGATTTAGTTCTTTATAACAACACTGAACATCCACAGTGGGCCAGATGGAACAAATAAATTGGAATAACCTATTCCCATTGGACTCTCGGTTTCTAGCTTACAACTCATCTCTTGGAGCCTCATCATCACCTTCCTCATCATCCTCTTCTTCCTCCTCATCTTCCTCTTCCTCCTGCAAAGAAAACGAAAAAGCATTTTAAACAATTATGACATGCTTCTTCATAATTTCAAAAATATTTGGTAAAATCATTTTCACAAAAAGAAACATGATAGCCCCATTTTTAGCACTGTATCTCTAAGATAACTTAAATTCCTGTCTCAGAACTTGAGTATTTGTACTAAAAAAACAACCCAAAAACAGTTATATCAGCAGTACAATATGGAACACCCTTGGATCAATACCCTGAAAGTAGGTACCACAAACTGAAATTTCAAAGTCCTCTGATTTCATAATTAACTGCACCACCATATAGAATTCATCACTCTGAGCATTTTGATACCAAATTTATACATATATAGCTTCGCTTTTAACAAAGTTATGAACATCTGAAGATGCAGAAAAATGTTAAAGTTTTTTAATTGCGAAATGTCTGCACTTTGAGATGTCACAACATTCTTAAATTTGAACGGACATTCACAAAAACTTGTAAACACACACCCATGCACATAGAGAACCAGCCCAATTTTTTTTCAGGGCTATCAAATAAGAAGAACAGGGCTTTTTGACTAAAACGGCAAGAAATACAAGGGGAGGTTAAAATGACCACTCGCGACCACCGGCTGAGCGCCGGGCCGCGCTGAAGGGAAGGAGAGAGAATTCATACGAAACTGGGGCGATGGCGCCCTGCTTGCGAGCCGACGGGGAGCGTCCGGTGTTTATTTGCGTATAATGGCTGTGTTGTTCTTGATTTTTTTTTTGTGGATTGGGTAGATGTTTTACGGCACTATCGACACAATTGTGTTATTCTTGAAGAGGAATGAATGGGCTTTCTGCCTATATATTTCCGTAGTCAGTCCGATCACTGGTTCCATAAAAAAAACAGCACCGAAAGTTTTCACACGCAAATCTTTTCTATTAATTCTTTAAGGACAGTCTTTAGAAATATATCACCGGAAAGAGGGTCTTATCTTGAAATATCGACGAATCAGATTGCAGTATTTAACACCATACGCTCCCCGTTCCTGTTCAAACAAGGTCACTCAAAAAATCAATACACGAAACGCACGGCCGCGACAGTGAAAACATCGATAGTGCTGTCTTTTGTCCCGCAAGATTTTGCTTTCAAAAGAATCGTTGATTCAAATAAATAATACCACTAAAAAGAGGAAAAGCTCCTCTTTCTTCTGATATATCATGTGTCTGTGTGTATGCTTGATCACACGGTGTTTTAGGAGGGAAAAATATGGGTTTTGGTCTCCGTGACAGCGCGCCCAGTTTGCGGTACCTACTGAAAGGGTTCTAAAGTCACTTGTCAGAGAAGACAAAACCACAATGCCATGGTCTAAGTGAGATAAGTTTGTCCCAACCTATTCCAAGTGACTGTGCAACAGGTGTAAAAAATACCCCCCTCCCATAAAAAAAAATTTAATTTCTCAAAGTGAAGCAAAGACATGTTTCATTCACAGATACAAGGTGCATTCTACATTTCACCTCTGCCTTATGAGCACAACAAAAAAAACCCCCAAAAAAGCCCCGCATAGACTGCTCCCTTCAACTTCACTAAATTTAGTATTTTATGGAACCTATTCTCCACAACTCTACTAGGAGATGTGTAAACCACTCTCCTATAAATATACGTATACCACTCTCCATAACTGAAGCTCCACTATATAGGAGATGTGTAAACCACTCTCCACAGCTCCACTATATATACATATATATATATATAATGTATATATAATATACAGTCAAACCTGCCATGACGGCCACCTGTACAAATGGCCACTTTCTATTTCCCCCCTTGTGTTTTTTCTATATAATTTACTGTGTAAAACGGGCACCTGTCCAACCTGGCAGCGGCTACCCTATTCTATCAACCCATGGCCAAATCTACCCGCCTAAGGCGGCCAGACTTTATGCATTTTCCCCCCGACGTTGTGGACAAGCCGTCATAATTCATTCACCAGTCATTTTTGTCAGTCCCTCCAATGGATGAAACAGTCATATTGCTTAGGTCACTCCCAATGTTTACCCAAGTTGAGCAATGGGTAACAATAAATTTTCAGCTGCTGGTGAGGGCAGCGTGTGAATCGTCATAACCTATAAGGCCCGCCCACAACTCAGTCCATAACAATGAAAGTCAACACAAACTCGTGACAGAAGAGTTGTTTGTTCGCCGAGTCGCGGCGACCCATTTCATTGATTTACTATGACTGTACACTTGGCCTTCCTCGTCTGAAACATTTCATTTTGTTTTGACCATTCCCGGAACCATAAGTAAAAAATAAAAATCAAACTAACAACAAAAAGTCCAACAAAAACTGTCCTCTCTTCCCCCTTAAAAAAAAATAAATCAACAATAACACAATTTAATCAGCCCAAGAGCAGTCCTAAGCATGCAATCACTTCCAGTTGGGACCTCAGGAGTAAATAGTTGGGTTGTTTTGTTTTTTTTAAAATTAGTCCTGCCTAAGACAGTCATTTTCCCCCCTCAACGATGCGTGGCCGTCGTACACAAGTTCGACTGTGTGTATGTGTGTATTATACATATATATATATGTGTGTATTATACATATATATATATGTGTGTATTATACATATATATATATATATATATGTGTATTATACATATATATATATATATGTGTGTATTATATATATATATATAAAGTTGAACATATTTAAATCTAAAGAACTCACCTCTGCGACACCAGCTCCATCCTTGCCGTCACTATCCAAGAATTTCTTAAATCCAGCCAGAGTTCTCTCACCATTGTAGTCAATGATCTGTGAACACGGCAACAAGATATGTAAAGATTTTGACTGCCATTAATAGAGCAAATAAATACGACAAATCTGTTATCACTATTCTGTTCCTTCACTTCAAAAGCATTACAAGTGGGATGTTTCAGTTTTAATATGCTACCAAATTATACTGATAATGTAAAGAGGTCAAAATTCACTCTTCGGGCCTCTGGTTCAGCACTCGCAGCCAAAACAGCGCACACACACCTGATTTTTATTATTTTTAAAAAGAAAACCTACCTTCCCTTGGATTTTTCAGCATCGCCTAAAGGTCAGTTCAACAGAATAAACGAAGTCAACAGGTAAGAGCTGAACTCAGCCCTCAAACATCCCAAACATAAGAACCCTCTTTTTCTCTCCTGATGACCAAGTTCTTAGGCAGAAACCACTGTATTTACAATATATATTCAGTTTCATAAACTACTGTATTCATCACTATCCCACATTCAAACTGACTAGCAAAATGTATGAATTTCAGGAACAAAATTTTTTTTAATCCAAAGACGTATCCTTTCTGAAATGTGACAGCATACCTTATCACTGCCAGCAGGGAAATATTTCAGAGTGGGGAAGCTCTGAACCTTGACCTCCTCAACCTCATTGGCAGTGGAGTCCATCTTAGCAACAACGATTTTGTCGTTGTCTTCATAAGCCTCTGCAAGCTCATCCCACACTGGAGCCAGCTGTTTGCAGTGTCCGCACCATGGGGCATCTAGGAAGGGAAGTGATGAACAAATGCAATTATACATGCAATAATACTCCAAAGAGAGGCTAAATACCTGGACTAATATTTTGATGAGCTAACCATACAAATTCACCAAATAGTGAACAGCAACTAAAAGTTAACACAGGAGAAAGAGAAAACAAAACATTGCAGACTTCACAGAACATGATCATTGTGCTTTTACCACAGATTTACTCCAATCTCACAATTCACGCTATTTCTCTGAGAATAAAGGCTATTGAAAGAAGGAACAATTCAATATAAACAAGTCTGTACCCCATTCCCCTTCCCCTCAATCTTCAATTTTTTATCATTTACGTTAGCGTGAGCAAGAGCAGGCTGTTGATTGATTGATTGAGTAGCTGTTTTATGGCACTATCGACTCAATCTTGGTCATGTAAGTGCCAACAGGTTTTACTGCAACAAATCTATCATCATGTTAAGTTTTAGTAAGAGTTTAACGGCGCTCGCAACTTCATACCGTCATATCATCAAGTTAAAAGGACGGACAGACATTTATGAAAATCTTTGTAAATATGGTAAAGACTTATTTACATTGGTAAAGTCGAACCTGCCTCCAAGGAAACCTGTCATAACGGAATCTCCCCGCTCCCCCCTGGATATATTCCTCATTAATTACCTGTTTAAAACGGAAACGTTTAAAACGGAAAATGCTTTGCCCGCTCAGCCCTTGATTTGAAACAAAACTCGCAAGTTTGGTTCCGCCGGCTCTAAACTTAACGCCATGGCCATGCCGCTGGGCGATGAATGGGAGTAGGGGTGCAATTTGGGGGTAGATTTTACCCCATCATGTGAGCCCTGAGCAATGCAGATGGTCAGGGTGGTGTGGGTGTGAAATCTCACGACTGCCCGTGACAGTGCTCGAGTAGCGAGCAACTATGAAAACTTTTCTGGGTAGCCAGAAGCCAGAACCATGAAATTAGATTGGCCAATGCCTGCTGCCCTGATCGTACGGCCATTGATAAAAAGAGTTACTCGAATTGTTGTTACATGAAGGCAGTGAGGGGTGGCATTGGTTGACTGTGCTTGTTACACCTATGAGTGGGGCTACGGGTGGAAGCAAAGGAGATGTTCAAACCATTCTGTTTTTAATAGGTCAAACAGCCGTCCTATGAAAGGCAAGCATAGGTGGTAATTGGATAAGTAAGACTGACGCATGTCATTATCAGACAGGATAGCAATAGAGGTTTGACCACTGCTTGCCGATCGGACAAGCCATTCTTGATCCCACCTGCTGGGCCTTTGAACACACCCCCCCCCCCTCATTTCCTCCTAAATTCTCCTGTCAAAGACGGAATTTTTTTCTGGCTCCCTTGCGATTCCGTTTTACACAGGTTCGACTGTATTCACACCGACAACGACAACTATACATTTTTATACCCTATCAAACAATCCTATTTCTTTTATAAAACTCAAAATTTTTCTCGAACTAACAACAGAGTATTGGCATCTTTACATCTGAAGTATTTTATGCGTATATTGTCGAAGTCGACACATTCAGTCTGGATGTGCCGAACTGTAAAATATGTGTTGCACGCAACGTAGAAAGGAGCTTCCTCTACTTCGAGAGAAGGCTGTTTTGGCATGTTTCCCTCCTACTGGTACAATAAAGATTTAAGCTTCAGTGTTGATATCAATGTTCCTTACAACAGTACTATTAAATGTAAACAGAATCAAGGACACTATCCCCTAATGTCCCACTCATGGCTATGCAACCATTTCAATAAAGACAAAAGACAGCTATTTGAACAAGACAGTCTACTCGTAAGATAAGCAAAAACGTGACTAAAGAGGCATTCTCTGCAAATATAAAACTTTAGTCAAGACGCAAATCTTATAAAAACTTACAAAATTCCACAAATACAGCTTTGTCTTGGTTGAGAGCAACCTCCTTAAAGTTCTTGCCGACCAGAACCTTGACAGGCTTGGCATCCCAGTCCTCGGGGATCTCCTCGGACATCAAATGAGGCTGAAACCAGAGGGAGGTCACAAATGTAAATATTACATAAAAGTAATGATAGTCTCACCCCTCCGTACAGCATTCTTTTTTGCTCAGACTCTTCTGTATGACTCCAGTTAGGACGTAAGCTGCTCTGACCCAGTCAGCCAAAGCCAACCTGGGCTTAACTCTTTTTATCCGGGCTACGAGTAGTATACTCGTAACGAGGACCAGTCCGGGCTGCGAGTATTCTCGGAACAGCGATACGGTCACGTCAAAGAAGCTAGTTTTGCTTGTAATTACCAAAATACGCAAATACGGCGATGCTAGCTCTGCCTGAATATTTTAATTTTCCAATGAACAGTGATTTCTTTGTTTTTGATGGGTGTAGAAGCTTGAAAGTTGTCTCGAAAACGCACATTCATGACCGACGAAGTACTTTTTGAAGTGGCGCTGGGTTGTGAGGAGGAATGATACTAATTTGAGGAAAGTGGCTCTGAAATAAATGCCGTAAATTCCGTTTTGGATGATAAGAAACATGACTTAGACTAATCTAATAGCGATTCCGATCATGGTGAAGGGGTCGGTGCTGGAATTCGTGCTCGATCGGTAGGGCTAGATCTAGATCTAGATCTCTATAAAATGCAATGGGACGTCGTGGACGCGTCAATCAGGGTCAAGTTCGAGGGTGGAATACACCTCAAAATCTACATTGTGCTATTTGGTGTATTTCCTAACCACATACATTTACAAAAACTACATTCAGTTTCTAACATAACTGCCAAATTTCCTTAAAACCTTAGAGTAAATATAAAAAATATAGCACTTTGAACTATACGCACTGACTTCCGACTCATACGGCGCGGCGGCCCCAGGACGGGTACAGAGTCCGTGGCGGTACGGCTAGGATAAAAAGAGTTAATGGGATATAACATACTAATAGAGAAAGTTGCCCACACGCAAACTGAACTCATGTCTTTAGCATGCAACAGCACAGAGCACAACCACGATATCAAACACTTGAATATAGGTTAATGGGTAGCCAACATAAATAAAACAACCAGCATACCAATTTTATTCTTAGACACATAAAGAAAATATCAGTTTTGCCCCCTTGTGGTAGTTTTTTTTTTTTTATATCCTGGTCAACTATGTAAACTGTTCATGTGTCTTTATAAGAAGTCCACAACAAAGAAAAAACTAAAGTTGGGTACCTTCAATTTTCCATCCAGGAAGTCCTGGGCAAACTGTTTGATGGTAGCAGGGTCAACTCCGTCAGCAGTGGGTCTGTACTTGGTCATGTCCTCAGCCAGAGTGATGAGACGGACAGCAGGCACCTCCTCGGCTTTCAGGCCAAAGAACTCCATGATGCGACCGTTGTCCTCGTTGTCAGTGTCCAAGTAGATGAACAGGATCTATTTTTTTAAGAAACAAAAACTGAAGTGAATATCTTGCAACCACTTTTAATGCAACTTGATAAAGGAGTAAATAACCTGAGCTATTTCAGAGAAAGAAAACAATAATAAAAGGAAATAAAGGATCTGTTGAAAGCATTCTTTAACCATAGCCCAACTTGAAGTCAGTCCTAATAAGAAGTCCACGACAAAGAAAAGACTAGTTGGGTACCTTCAATTTTCAATCCAGGAAGTCCTGGGCAAACTGTTTGATACAGCGGGAGAGATCAAGCGAGCTCTAGCTGTAAGCAATCTCCAAACAGACAGTCAGCGGTGCGATTGGCTAGTACAGTGATGATTGAGGTGGGGTAGGCGGTAGGACTACAGAGAGAATGGTGCTGAGAGAGATGGTGCAGAGAGACGCGATACGTGAACCATTCCAAAGGTGATGTTGATCTATACAGTAGAACATGACTATAACGGCACCCGCTGCAACGGGACCATCCCTACAGTGGGACCGTTCCGGAACCCCCCTTTTTTTTTCTTCAATGCAAACTCAATTACATGTGCTCGGGTTTAACGGGGCAAAGAAAGGCCCGAACTCAGATACAGCGGAAGAGATCTCTAGTGAACTCTAGCTGTGGGGAAGGGGGTTGGGGGCTGTAGGCGGGATCCAAACAGGCAGTCAGCAGTGCAGCGTTGTGATTGGACGGTCCAGTAATGAGTGAGGTGGGGCAGGCGGCAGAGAGAATAGGTGGTAGAGACGCATTGCGTGAGCCACTTCAAAATTTAAAGTAATGTGCCATAGCCTGGACGCTCAGTACCGTATAAAAGCGCACAGGCCATAGCCCTAGGCTAGGCCAAAAAGTAAATAAAGAGGAGAGTGTGTAGTGTGTGATTCCTGATTCATTGAATTGTGATCGCTGATGCTCAGGCATACGCATGCATCCACTTCACCAGTTCTACTGTAGGCCTACCGGTACAATAGACTGCACAAGTAGCAAACCGAGGAAAAAATGCTTTCAACAAAGACTAAAAGAAATTATGCTCTCACTCGAATTATAGGCAGAGATAATCAACGAAGTTGACAAGAAAAGGAAGACTAATCTAAAGCGCAAATTTTATTGATATGGAAGAGATGTAATCATGTGGACTTTTAGACATTTTTAAGGTAATATCCTCTTTGCATTTCTATAGCGGGAACTCGCCTTCAGCTGGATTTTTTCTTCTAGAAACAAAGTCCCGCTATAGCCATGTTCTACTGTGTTTGCTGTAAAGTTATGGAGGAAAGGGGGAACAAATAAAAATCATTCACAGGGACTTACAAAACTAAAAGGTGCCTATCACCACAATCAATCTCAACAATTACGCAACACCAAGCACATTACTGCATAGCTGCCCACCCCTCTCTGTGGCTATCAGGGACAGCCTTGCTCAAAATCAGGGACATTGACTAATTATCAGGGACACCTTGTATTTGTCAAGAAAAACTTGCTGCCTTTTCTGTTTCTTTGCTTTACTTGGTCCAGAGTCTGACTTAGAACTCATCGCCGAACGTTTTGACACCATCTTTTCAAACGAATGAAGAAGCCGAGCGCAGCGCATGCGTATCAGCTGACTTTGTCAAAGGCCACCTCTATTCTCACCCCGGGTGAGAATAGTGCAGGCGAGTCTTTTGGCTATTCTCACCCAGTGTGCGTTCACCGTTATAGTTATAGCCTAGATCTAGGCCAACCAATTTTGTGTTCACCCTGAACCACAGAATTCTACACTGTGATAACAGAAAAATTGTAGAATTCTGTGCTGTGAACAAACATTCTACTGTTATGCTTGTTTTGTAAAGTATTTTACGGCGCTCGCAACTGCATAAGGTCAAATGAGCGCGCGGACACTCCTAATATTTTCAGTCGGTAGGAAATTTTGAATTTTGCCCGGGTGGCGGCCGAAGCCTACTCTTATCGATTTTAGACCACCAAGGGATCTTTTAACGTGCGCAACTTGCACACTGGCCC